AACAAGATAGGCATCAGCCATTCTGAAAATCATTTATTTATGTTATTTATGCTATTTTTAATTCTATTATTTGTAAATCGGCATGCTGCGAATTTAAAATGAAAAAGAACAATGTAATATTATTTAATTAAATTTAAATTAAATTTTTTTTATTTATATTTAATTTTCATTATCTATTTATCAATATAATTGTTTTACGTACGTATTTTATAAAAAAAATTAGAAGCTGATGCAACACCCAACGTTTCTTAGGAATCTTACAGATTATATCGAGTATCACTAAGTGGTTAACGAGACCTCCCCGGAGTCCATCGTTAACGTAACGACAATTTTCGGAACTTAACGATTTGATTTAACAAGAAATATCGATAACTGCTTGATACAGAATCACTCGTAATTACTCATAATGAAAGTTATCGATAAGTACAGTTAACGATAGCGACAATCGTCGATAGGAAGTTAGAGAATCCCGCTACAGGTCTATATTTGCTTCATACAAAAGTTTTATAGTTTATATCTTGAAAATAAGCATAGGTCTGAGGTCACATTATTGTAACGAACGATACCAAGTTTATAGAACTAAGATTGAAAGTCTAGAAGGAAAGTAATCCCACCGAATAGAAAATATGTATATATGGATATTTTGCGAAGACTGGGACTGTCAACAGTGTCAACAGAGTCGAAATTCCGTGTAGTAATAGTTGCGCGGTCTTGCGATAGATGGTGCTGGCATATGTTAGATAAGGACAGATGTATGCGTTTAAGTGAGATAGAACGATATATAATATAATGTAAGAAATGAATCAAAGATGTCACTATTATCGAATTTGGAATTAAAAAAGTCTGCACTATCGACCTCGATCAAGTTCGGTAATCGGTTTAGGATCTCCTTAAAGTGATGGTGTACTAAATTGGTACAATATGCATCAAAATGATTAATTAAACACATATCATGCATATGACTGTTTATACGGTTCTACCTCGAAGTTATAACATGGGTGTCAGGAAATTGGCCAATTACAGTCATTCCATTCTTCAGAGGAATAGCTATGATTGGTTATAACGTTATAACTTCGGGGTAAATCAAGTCATGTAAACGTAGTCCACGTTTACATGACTTGATTTACCCCGAAGTTATAACGTTACAACATGTTTACACGTATTGTCAAAATAATTAAGATAACTCAATAGAAAGTTAAAAATTCGTACCCATATCAAGTGCATGATTTAAGAACGAGTCAACTTGAGCGGTGAGCCGACTTTTATATGCAAGGTAATAGTTTCAGTAAAATCTGTTACAGAAAAATATATTGACTACATTTACACGGCTTGATTTACGCCGAAGTTATAACATTGATGTTAAGAAACTGGCCAATTACAATCATTCCATTCTTCTGAGAAATAGCTATGGTTGGCCAGTTTCATACATCGATGTTATAACTTCGACGTAAATCGAACCGTGTAAACGTAGTAATTGTATCTCTGTCTAACCTTAACGCGTCTCTAACCTAACCTAACCTTACAACCGCCTCCTTGTAACAAGAGGTCGTACGTGAGTCGCCTTAACTAATTAAAAATTAAAACGCATTATAAAATGACAAATTAACAGAGGTTCAGCTCATTCTTGGACGAATTCCTGCAAGCAACAAAGGACAACCGGTGGAAGAGGCCAAGACTCAGGAGGAAAAACCGAAGAGCCCTCCCCGAATATAAAATAAAATCTTCCCATAAAACGATATACACAGAAATATAAATAATTACACAAACCTACTAACAATAAAGTACATTAATTGTAAGTTGTTTTCGTTATCAATAAGTACACATGTAAGATAAAACAAGCTTCCACAGGGTGAAATCGCTTCCTAAGACGCAACAGGCCGAGGACGTCTATCACTGCAAGGGAAAGAGGCATACCTCCCTCGTGGCATAGGAAAACGAGGTGGCGACCGATTTAATTATCGAAGATAGCATAACGATTCAACAAGTAGTAAGCTAATTAAATACATTGGCCGGTCATCTAAATCTGCAGTGACTGAACATGTGTACTTGAATGCACACGTGTAAAAAATATGATAGTAAATCGATGGCGATGCACAGTAATTTATAAAATAAATGTTAAAAATATAAAGAAATTTTATTTCTTTTTTTTATATACCAGAGTATCGTTTTATTATTTTTATGAGAGATTTGTTATCAATACTGATGTCAAGTTATAATTCTATAAAAAAGAAACGTTATAAAAGCAAAGATTTAAAAAGAATACAATCACACACATAATCTTAACGTTGTTTTTTATATAACGGACAAGAAGTATCACATTTAGCAATTTTAGCAATAAACATGATCATAACGAAGAAGAGGAAGACTGAACAAATATTGTGTTTATTAAGGTTACATTATTCACATTTATATATTTACAATTATGTACTTGTGTAACTACATCAATATAGACTACGCAATCATTTTATTACTGCAGTAATAAAGAATATAATCTTAATGATGATTATAGCAATCGATCATATATCATAATTAAATATAGTTATTGTTTAAGATAAAATTAAATAAGATTTAAGATGATGGCACATTCACTATTTCAGATGTAGAACTCCGAGTATCCGTAGATTTTTCTTGCAATTCTAACCACGGTAATCGTTTTTGCAGTTCTAATCTGTTGCAGAATAATATTCATGAAGACATAATTAATGTTAAAAAATTGGATAAATATTTAGTAATAGGGACATTAGGGACCACTGGGGACCATCCTCCAATGACCTTGACTTGACATATTTCACACAATCGCCATTGGAATTGCCACATAAAACTTGGCGGCTCAGAATCGCCTTTTGAGTTCAAAGGATTAAAGCATTTGTGTTTTTAAAGCACAGAAATATTTTTAGAATAGAAAGAATTTTTTCATCAGAACAGGATCGTATCCGAAAATTACGTTTTATTGATGAATATTTTTTTGTCAATAATTTTTTAATGGCTAACGAGCGCCGGCTAAAACCTATCAGAGCCCGGAAGTTATTCAGGGTCTTGACAACATATGCCAAAGTCAAGGTCATTGGAGAGAATGATCTTTATTACCAAATATTTACCAAAAATTGATCCATTAATGCAGCTACTGTAAATGGATGTGGAGGATGTTTAAGCAGGTGTATGCGAATATTAAAAATTAATTTACAACAGGATACCGGACATCACGACACGCGGACTTTCTTAAATATATTTTATCTCATTTTGACATAAAAGTTGAAAATTCTTAATATTCATTGTAGAAAAAAAATAAAGATACTTATTATATAATAATACTCCAAGCAATCGATTATGCCTATTAAAAATTTCGTTTACCCTGCTGTTTTTTAAATATGATCATTGCGTCTCTATTCAACTCGACGGTTTGAGTAAACAGACACGGTAGTGTCTCTTGCGCTAAATACGAACGCAATACCTGGCGTGAGACAATGGCTGCGTTCAGCAGAAAAAACAACTTTGCAACTGTTGTAAAATTCTTCAATATGATTGGTTTATACATTTAGATCTGTAAGGAATCAAAAACAAGAATCAATCGTATTGAAGAATTTTACAGCAGTTGCAAAGCTGCTTTCTCTGCTGAACGCAGAAAAATTGGTCGCGTTCAGCAGACTCAACTGTTGCGGAGCGGATCAGTGAGCTCTCACTGCTATTGAATGATCTAAAAGAATACACCAATAGCAACGAGCGCTTATGGATCCGCTCCACAACAGTTGAGTCTGCTGAACGCGACCAATACCGTGTCATCTTGAACAAAAATTTAAACAAAATAAATTTCTCATAAGATATGTATGAGAATCCTTTACTGTCTGACATCACACAATCATATAAGCTGCAGTAATAGATCAAATATAATTATCTTATGGCACATAATAATTTCAGATAAAAAAGAAATAAAAACAGAATTCTTCACTTTTGTCTACCTGTATCTTGGATGACTTATAGCATATACATATGGATCCAAACAAGCCACAAATTTGCATGTGCATGCCGGTATCATTGTGATACCAGGAGTTAATAATGTCTTATCTCCAAAAGCACCAATCATCGCGAGAACTCCGTATGGAGTCCACGAGAGAACAAAAAGGAAGCATATTGTTATCGCGGCCTACAAAAAAAGATGACGCATGTCATACATTTCTTTAAACACATGTGATTTAATGTATATGATGAATATATATGTAACAATAAATGACATTAAGTCGATGTGTTACTCGCTCTTGCATCACTTATTCATTTTCTCATTTTAATGTTTATATAACAGATACAGGAAATGATAAAGTAGTGCAGAGAAAAAACTCAATTTTATGAAATATTATAATAGCCTTGAGCTAAATGTTTGAGCAAAATAGAGAGTATATCTGTAATCTGTAACGGAGAAGTCGCTGTCGGAATATTTCTGTTTCATTCTCGATTAATTAATTGTAAGATTAAATAAAAGTTATAGGATTTAAAAATATGTATTTATACTGTTGGTTTTTTCGATTCGACCTTGGGTGGCATCGTCAAGATCAGGTCAAGATCAAATAAATTTTTTTTAATTGAAATTCTCATTTTTCATTACATATTCTTGTAGCTCATCTCAAGAGCTTTTCAAAACACTAACAAAATTTGATAAGATATTTCATATTATATATGTATATACATAGGTAATATATAAAATTAGAATAAAATATAAAATATTGTAAAAACTTGATTTTTTGATAACTGCATTTTTATGTACTCTTATTAGTACTTTTATATGCAGAATGAATAGAGAACATTCCTAAATAATTATGTGTGTAATATGTATGTATGTAAATTTATTTCTGTATTGTATTTGTATCATGTGTAAAGGAGGGAAAATTTGTATATATGAAGAATACCTTGGCTATACGTATTTCCATAGTTTGAGCATTTGTATCGACATTGCTTCTCAAACTTTCGACATTCATCTTCTTTGCTTGTTCACGAAGAGCTTTCTCGTGATTAATAACGTGGCTGACAATTTGACTATAATAATATATGATAAGTAACATTGGTATACAATAAGAAAAGATAAATATTGTGGCCACAAAATATTGTATTTCCGGAGTATCTGTCAAATAATCGAAAGTGCAGCTTGTCAAAAAACCTTCAGGCACAAACCGACCCCAGACATGCATTATTGGCATCAAGGCCCAAGGAATTGTGTACGTCCAGATAAGTACAATAAAGAGCATCACTTGACCGCGAGATAATTTCCCATCAAGTGGTCGGGCTATAACACTAATTTGATAATATTATAACGTGTAATTATATCATTAAAATCATTAGCAAGTTATACAAGATATTCCCAGATTAAACCACCAAATTTAAAATATGAATTAGAATCTCAAAACAAACATAATTTTCATCTGGAAACTTTTTTTGCAAACGCTTGGTTTACAAAATATCGACTTCTTAAATTATAGAACTATAGAAATGAACAATGTCGAAATAGTCTAAGTTCATTAACTTTATTGTTTTACAATAATCAAAGTATAATTATTAAATATTTTGTTTTAAAACGAAAGATATGCAAGCGTACGAAGAAAGGACCCCGCATAGATATTTTGGAAATGTGTCCCGATTAAATTGACTAGAATTACATTCTCGACATCCCAAACAAGTCTTAAATCATTACTAATAAATGAATAACTTTCAAATCTTTATGCTCAAACATAGTCTGAATAATTTAAGATCTTATTTAAAATTTTATACTGTTTAAACAATTTAGAATTCAATCTTGGAATTTATATTTTTTAATTACGTAAAACTTCGTAGTTGTCACATATATATATATTAATAAACTTTGTACATTTACTTGATATTTATACCTGTATCTGTCATACGCTATAGCAGCATTTGTCATACCAGCTCCAATTCCACTAAGCGAACCCATAAAGGCAAAGAGTTGACATCCTAAATGACCAGTAGCAAATCCAGTATTAAAAGAATTATATATAAATATCGGTGCCTTGAGCATCATGAAGAAATCGCAAAATGCCAAATTCACCACAAACAAATTTGAAGATGTTCTTAGCGATTTGGCTCTACAGAGAAAAGAAGATTTTGATATGAAATATAAATATTAACGCTTAGTACATATAATGACATGCTAAATTTTGGCGTATTTAAATTATGACGTAAAAAATGATAAACTATATCTACTAAAAAACTCATACTTAAATAAATAAAAGGCTAAATTTTATTAATTCCAAAAAAATTATGCTTATTAAAAATTAAAATTTGTATTGCACAGCATTATAATGTAAGTTAAGCAATATTTATTGTCAATGTTCAACTGCTGTATATGTAACTTACGAGCAAAATATCCAGATAACAAGTCCATTTCCGAATAACGCTACAAAGGTGAAAATTATGTATAGAATGGCCAGTAAATAGTGAAGAGAAGGATTGGGTTCAGGATAGATCAGCCAATGTTCTGGTATATGAACCAATTCCTCAGCAGGGACGTTCCATCCTAGCAACCGTATTGGTTTTGCTGATAGAACTCTTGCCTCCCAATGAACACTTCCGTTCACCATGTCGATTTACTAATTTCAGACTTCACTTCTCTATAACGTTGAATCTTTATATGCATTGCGGTAACTCAAATTTATGGAATCTAAATCCATTCAAATCCAAGCTTAAATGGCTTCCGAAGAAGATTAGTCGAAGATAATCCTCAATTTGCTGATGGGCACTGTATGTATGCTACTATGTTACGTCAGTTGACTATTAAACTATATATTTATCAGTAACAGAATCCATATTAGAACGTTGATTATGATCGAATAATTTTTGAGGTCAAATTCTTCAAGTATAAAAGAATACACAATAGTCTTTATAAAAATTAATTTATTTTGCAAAACTGCTATTAAATATAAGTATTCAAATAATTTATATCCATAATTAAATTTAAATATATTAACAAGTTTCGTATGAATTCGTAACAAGATACTATCTGTATTAAAAATAATTAATACAGTTATAAAAATAAAGAATGACTTATAGGGAAATAATTAATACTAATAATAATATATACTAATAATACTAATTAGTATATACAATATTAATTCGTTTGTGTGTGTGTGTGTGTGTGTGTGTGTCTGTCTGAAATTCTAAAAAATCAAATATTATTTCTTTTCACATTCTCTGCCTTCTCTCTCGGCAGATTTATCGGTCAAAGTATAGGCTGGTAAATAAAATGAAGGATTATTAGGATCTTTTAACAACGGATTTCGTATCGTAGTATTTCGATTGCCAATACTTGTATATCCTTGATCGTAAAGCGAGCAATAAGGAATGTTATGTTTTAATAAAAATGTCCATACTTGACTGTAGGACCAATGTAAGATAGGATTTACACGTATCAATTGTGGCCAGTTCGGATCAGTGGGTGTAAATGCTTGTAAATTTTCAGAACCTGGATCACCTTTTCTCGTACCCATAAGAGCTGCTTTCAAATAATGTTTTTCTTCCAGTAATTCAGATAATGCGGATTTGATCGGTCGTTGCATCCGTATTATCTCCAAACCATAATATTGAGCAGCTGACTCCACAAATGCTTCTACCTACATGTACAGAATATCAACAGATATGTATTCTATTTGAAAAATGATTCAAGATTTATAGGGTAAATAGTATATCTAGTATTTCAAAATTAAAAACAATTGAAAAAATACTTAATAGCATAGATGAAAAAATCAATTTGTCATATTTTTTGTTGTTATATTTTTAATTTTGGTAAAAGCAAGTGACTTGATTATATTTATCACAATCAATATAATAACAAAAGATTCTTTTATATATATTTTTACTCTGATATACAAAAAAATATATTTATGAATCAGTCGCCAGAGAAACGAGTGCACTCTATGCGTCCTTCTTCCAACTTTTCATGGTCAAATCTTGATTCAACCCTTTATAGGTTTATCCCTTAATAGGAACAACGATAGTTGATGATAAACAGAATAAAAAGCAATCATTACAACTTAAATTACAGTCTTTATAGGAAGAATATTGTCTCTTCTCCAGCTTACGATTGCGGAGATTCTTGTCAGAATATAAGTCATATTCTTTTTATGTTCTTTTTTATGTTCCTCATACTCGCAACAAATTACAGAGACTGATAAGTATTTGTCTGATTCCAATCTAGGCTATATATACAAAATATATTTTCTTTTCTAGTTAATCCTCATCCTAAACTGTGTCAACTTATTTAAGCTTTTATGAAGATATGCTAAATCTAGCTTTAAATTTCCTCCCTGTTCTTTGGATGCGTGATTGTCTCGCCAGCGCATGCGCCAAGTGAGAACAGGAAGTTTACCATTATAAAGATTGATTTTTTGCCCAAAAAAATCGCTTTTTAAATCCGTTCAGGATAAAAGGGCTGATTTAAGGTAGATCGATTCATTTAATAAGAGATCGCGATTTTTTCAAAAAGAATTGTGTATCTTTATTGTCAGAAAACACAACTGTTGAGATACGTTCTCACTGCGTTTCGAAACGTATTATAGTAACTATAGTAACTAAAAATGAATAGTTCACGACATTATCGCGTATGCTATAAATTTTTAGCGCGTTGTATCACACATTTGTGTCTTGTTTTCTGAACACAGCAATTTAGTCGAATTTTGGCTACTGCAGAAATGCGTTCAGAATTTCAAGGCGCATCATTTTATTCCTAATGACTCATTGAATTATATTAAACAAGAATAAAATGATATCTGATGTACCTGGATAAAGTTTCTGAATGTTCCCTGCCTAATTATCGATTGTAATTTTTTAACGGCATAACAGTGTGCAGCGGATTACGTTCACACATCACCATTAATTGGGTTTAATTATTATCTGTTTAATTATTAACTAGTTATTACTGGATAAATTGTATAAATGCTAGTCCGTTGTTAAATCCGATTTTATAACACCAATTGAAACCGAATTTAATTGCGTTTATGTACATTTTACGTCAGTAGTTAATAACTGTGTATGTGTGTATGTGTGCGTGTATCTAGATTTTTAAATTAAACAATAATAAGATTGAAAGACCGCTAATGTTAAACATAATGCTTTAAATTAAGAAGCGTCATAACGGTCAGAACCGTCTCGGTGGTCTAAAGGTTTAGGACGCTCGCACGGAATGCAAGAGATTCGGGTTCGACTCCCGGCCGAGGCATTATTTTTCGCAATAAGTTTATTACAGTTTTTAAGTTGGGAAATTTGGGGGGATTATTAATATTTTCAGATTTGATTGCGTTGAAAGTCCGACAACCATATCGGCACGCAATTATAATTTCTGAAATTAATTCATTTAAATGAATTTATTATACAATAGTTCAACATCTTAACGTTCTGATCGTTATGACGCTTCTTATTTTAAATTAAAATTATTTGACTTGGAAGCAAATTAGAACCTTGTTTTAATTGTTTAATTGCTTTTGTTGAATTTATACTATCATACTAAAAAAATATTCTTTGATTGAATCGATTTCGAACAGATCGATTCATTTAGTACAGACTTTTTAATGGATCGAATTCAATCGGTCTGATTCAGGATCAATTCAGAGCTCAATTCAGTAAGATACAGCGCATAGTGCGTGTTCTTGTGTGAAAAAAAATACATTCTCGTTATATCTTTTATTATCTATTTAATGGTTAGAGCTCTTACCTCCGGAAAAGAATCATCTGTTACATATAAGCACAGCAAAGATGTAATATTACGCAATTTAGCGACGGTAGCAGCTAAATGCAAAACTACTGTGCAATCCTTACCACCATTGAAACTAATGAAAATTTCATTTGGATTATATCTATAAAGAACAAATACATACAACAGATTATCAATAGCGGCAATTTATATGAGGCTCTTCTTTAAATTCTTCAAAATAAGGATTTTAAACATTTAAATCAGTGCATTTTAAAATTAAACAAATTAGAGACACACTTGATTGAGAGGATACTCCTGTTCAGTAATTACGGAAGTAAAAATACGTACGCTAAGAATTAAAAGTTCACATAAATTAGACACATTAACACTAAGATCCAGCCACGACCGCGCTTCTCTACTTATTTATAATATCCTAAAGCAATAACACACATGTAACATGTTACATACGCACCTTTCATAACAGTCATTTAATATGTCTAATGCACATTTAATATACATTTCACTTTTACTATTTTCCAGTACAATATTCATTTGAAAATTGCTGAATTTATGTTTCAAATTTATAATTTTCTGTATTGGCAAGTGGTACAAAAGTTCCTCTTTTGCTTCTGCAATTGTTTCTTCGAATCCTTCTAAAGTGATTCTCGTAAAAGGTGTTTGCAATTCATATTGAGGATAACTACCAATTTTTACTTTACCATCCCACCGTTTTGCTTGTTTATCTAAAACGTTTACTATTGATAGTTCATCTAATGCAATATCTATATATTCAAAGTGAAATGGTGTGCATCCTTTCAAACGAGAAATTATTGTGTCTGCAGCAGGCTTAAAGTACTTTGGGGAACCAGGTAGCACGTAAACATTTTTTATATTTACTACTGGAAAAGCCCCTGAAAATATAATATAATATCATACGTTAATATTATATATTAAGATGAAAACAATGGATATAAATTTTTCATCATGCATTATAAATTTCGTTTTCATTCATGAATTATAAAACTCTTATATCAAGCAAATATTAATTTCATAAGTAGGTGACATCTGCACAAACCAAAAGTAAATGAATATTTAAATTTTTTTTCGATTTTCTCGTGAAATCCAGTATTCCAGATGTTTCTAATTTGCGCGTACTTTAATTCTATAGAAACAATTTTGTCCGTAATCTGTAAATCCAATTCAAAGAATTATCGCTGAATGGAATTGATAGTAAAGTAAAACAACCTTAGGATCCCCTTAAACCTTAACGAATAACGAGAAACGGCTAAAACCTATTGGAAGTCATTTAGGGTTATGACAACGTATGTCAAAATCAAAATCATCGAGGCTAGTTTCCTCCATGTTCACCATTATTTCCTCTTTGAAACATCATTATGGAAGCTTTAAAGTATATAGGAATAAAATGCAAAATAAAAAATATAGATTAAGATATAAATATTTTTATAAAACGTGTATATTTCATTAAATCATGAGAACAGTTTTCTTTAAACAATTATTTTATATTGTATAATTAATAAAATTCAACTTTTAATGGCACGTTCTATATTGTTCAAAATTTTCAGAGAAAACTACTCTTGACAAATTAGTAATATTTACTCCGTAATTGCATACCAAAATATCCGATAGTGTCTCACGATTGGCATCCGCGTGAGCAAAAAAAAAGTCTGGTGAGTGAAGATTAATAAAGAGTGACTATCAACTAAAATCTTCTGAAGGTCACTCAGGACTTTATTCTCTAAGGAGTTTATTCTCTAAGGTGAAAATTTACTACTAAAATTATACTTTAACTCTTAATATCTTTAAAACTATAAGAGATTGACACCTAGTTATTTAGGAAAAATTATTCAGGGTCATGACAATGACAACATATGGGCACGATGTTTCTGAATCTAAATAATTATTCAGAAATGTTAATAACCAATAATTATAGGTCCAATCACATAATTTTTAAAGAAACCTTATATGTGCGCTGAGAGCGAAGAAACTAAAATGTAAATTTTGAAACAAAATAATAATAAATAAAGGACTCCCAAAATAACAACAATGCGTAATGTATTAAGGGCGATAGGAGTCAGCGCGGAAAACGGTGCGCAAATCAACAAAGTCACTTATAAAATAATTTAATAATATAATGTCATGATTAGAATGGCTCTAGATTTGAGCCACCCTCAGTAAGAATATAAAAATTATAAATTGAAATTGATCAAACAGATCCACTTAATTTTTTCAGTCAAAGAATATATATATAAATTAAAATATAACAATTTAAGAAAGATTGAAAAATACATAGAATTCGCATTAGTTTCATCAATTTAGATGTTGTCCACTGTCGTCAGAAGAGAGATGTAAACACCAACTTTGAAAGAAAATATGTGTACCTGAATCAATGATGATAATCTTGCAAGTATTGGGAACAATAGCAAGTCGTTTTATTTCGGCCTGATCAGGAATCATTCGAGTGTATATATCAAATAATTCCTGATTTAATTCAAGTTTTAATTCAAAAGCCTTTGCTACAGCCTCATAAGTTACATCATCATGAGTAGGTCCAACACCACCAGATGTAAACACAATAGAATACTGCTTTGATGCATTGCGTATTTCTTTAACAATATCATCCACCTAATAAAAGATTTAAATGACAATTTTTTACGTAAATTTACATGAATTTTAGCATTAATTAATTGTTAATATTAGATATTTAAAAGTATCATTTAGAATTTAGAATAATATATATAGTTTAAAAGTATTTCTAATAAAATATTCATTTAGGATTGTGGAAAGTAAATTGTTACTTGTAAATAACATCGTTATTCTATATATTATTAATAATATTACATTAAATTTGCGCACACGTTAAGTAATCATAAATAATACGTACGATATCAGAGACCATTATAACTTTCTGTAGTTTTATTCCAGCAGCAGTTAAATTTTTTGCCAGATATGATGTATTGGTGTCAATTATTTGACCACGTAAAATTTCATCTCCTACGACTATCAAACTTGCTGTACAGAAATGATGTATTTGTTGCGACATATCGCTCTAAAATGAAAAGAAGTATAATAAAAAATATCTAGTTTTTTCTATACAATAACTCACATGCAATTTACTATTTTCTTTATTACATATGACATATACTTATATGACATATACTTTTGATATTTATGTTTTATTTATATCTGATACTTTATAAAACTTCAATAAAACTACAGCACGTAAATATTGGATATAGTGGATAGTCTAGAAAAAGGTAAGAAAGCTAAATAATAAAACTATATATATTTTTTGTAATATTTATTATAAAAATTCTAATAAAGAATGTATGTGTAATATTATATTGACAAGAAATTAACATTTGAAATTAAAAATGCATAGTATAATTTGTAATAGATGCACAGTATAATTTGTAATAGATTAAATCTATCCATTTTCTTTTTTCTTAATATCAAGTTGTATTCGCTCCATCATTGAGGTCGTTACATCCGTTTGTGCTGACATTATCTTAGGCATAAAAATTCTTTATTTGTTTTGATCGATTTCTTATAAATTTATTTTGTATCAAGTTTTGCTTTGGAGTTAGATGCTTGCAAATTTTCTAATTTCCTTAATAGCTAATCCATACCCAGTGTTTTATTTTTATTTAATATTTTATTTTCTTTCTCAAATTAATTTTAAAGCACAAAAACAATTATATTTAATCAAAACTATTTTTTATTAAATGCTTACTATTGTATTTATTCGGATCTCTTTGTGGGCATATAAGTTTTTAAGTGTTTTACAAAATTAAATTAAATTAAACAAGAAACTTAATAAGTATTGAATTACCTATATGAGTACCTATTTCTTTATTTTATTCTTGACAATTTCAGATTGTTCAATAAATTAAAGACTGGAAATCGTTTGACAAATATGACCAACAATATATAAAGTGTAATCTCATAATAATGATCTCATATATCAATTTAAAATTTGTAAATATTCATCACTTACTTTCTTCAAATTAGTAATCACTTTTAGTGCTTTAACTTTCAACTTAATACTATGAACTCTTGCGATTTTGAAAACATTTTTATTTTTATGAATCTTCTTGTTCTTCTCCATTTTTTCTGTACTTCGTTATATCATTCTTTAGAAACAAACTATTGTAGATAATTAATCACACTAATTTTAAATTATCTAACTAATCTTAAATTTCTTCGTTGCTGGCTCCTCGCCTTTAAGTGTTTTCAATAAAAATGATACACGAACCATTTGTTTACTTGGTGAAACATCCCTAATATTATGTATACTAACAATAGATTCAGCAGACAATGTATAACCAAGTTTTTCCTCAACCAATAACCTTCCAAGCATGCAAACATCATCTCCTTTATCCGTTTTCACAAAACAGTATACATGAAATGTGGGTGGCTTAAGACATACTTTTTTAAATTCTTCTTGTGTAAACCAATCAGGAAGTATGTCCAAAAATTCAATAGCTGATGCAGGTAAATTCATTATTATATGTTCAGAACCAGGTAAATCTTGAGCCCGTCTCGTCAAAATATTATCTCTAACAACTTCTCTCAAAAAATTTCTACCATCCATGTTAAAAGCTTTAAAATTATCTTTTACCTTGTTAACAAGAGCGTTTTTTTGAAGCCATTTGTAAGATTCAGGATTTAAGTCATTAGCAAATACTTGGACTTTTTTACGTGCGGCAGGAATTGCAAAGGGTCCTACTCCTGCAAATACATCATATAGAACATCACCTTGTGTCATAAATGTTACAATTCGTGTATGTTCAGTAGATAGACGTGGATTCCAGTATACTTGTGCAAAGTCAAACTGATATGTACAACCATGTTCTTTTGCAGATGTTATTGTGTTTCTTTCACCTGCTAGAATTTCCATAGCAAAATATCGGAACGATGTATTAATTGTATCTATTTTATTTACTACTGTTCGTGCATTCGCAGTCTTATCAAGAAATATTTGACCAATAATAGATTTGTATGGCAAATGTACATCACGTAAATTCAACTGCATAATATCTCCTACTAAACTGTATGCTGTAGGAACTTCAATATCTTCCGGAAGAATTGATTTTAATATCACATCACGACGCCAATTATCATATTTTAGTGTAATGTCCATTGGACCAAAATATTCATATTGATCTACTAATAGTTTTCTATCATTCTCAGTAATATCTTCAAATTTCATGACAATATCAGGATTTAGATAAATAATAGCTCCATCATTTATCTTTTGAACTGATTTAAAATTACACATCTTTAACAAATATTTCTTTAATACACGTATATTTTTTGAGACAGAAATATCACGTAGCTTTAACGTTGATACAGTCACAACTCTTGTAAATGCATCACGATCCAAGCACATCATCCCACGGACAGACGCTGGAGGAACCAGCAAGGAAGTCATAGTAGTTGAATAAAAGCTGTACTGGTTATTCAAGCAGCAAGACTGCCGTACAACACTGAAGAATCTGCCAATTGCCATATACAGGATCATACACTGCAGAACAATACAAACAACTAACCGTAGTAAAATTTCATAAAGATCTCAATTTTTAATTTAATAATATCAAATATATAGAAATAGTAATAGAATATCTATACACAACACAGAGTATTCCCGAATTTAAATGGCTAAACTTCGGGAGCGTGTAACTTTGTTTTGAAGAAAATCGCAAAAAAACAAAACGTACTTTTTCATTTTTGTACTTTATTTATTACTTATTCATTCACACTTATTTATTCACGTTGCTTAACGCAGATATTGTTCAAAATGTTGGCCTATTACAGCAATGCACGTATTGCATCTTGTACGGACAGTTCGTATTGCAACCAAACACTGATCTGGTCAATGTTATGATCTATCGATTCTGCACTCTTTTGTCTTCTAAAGTATGCATTTCTAAAGTAAGCATTTCTAAAGTAAGCACTTCTAAAGTAAGCATTTCTAAAGTGAGCATTTCTAAAGTAAGCATTTCTGGGAAAAATGTAGGGTCATACAAAAATTGTAGGGTTTAAAATGGTACTAATTTTATCAGTTTGACCTTGGGCGGCGCTATCAAAGTCAAGTCAAAGTCAAATTGATTTTTTTAAATGAAACACCCTATTTTTATTTCAGAATCTAATAGCTGGTGTGAAGAGCTTTTCAAAATGCTATAATAATGCCACTTTTAATCAGTATTTTTCGAGTTGAGACTTGAAAGTTATAATACCGCCAGTATTAGCATTATCTAAGGTGTATCGCGCGAAGGTTGCTCGGTTTCATTTATAAGTCGTGTGTATGTGCGCACGTATGTCTCTATCTCCTCCTCCCTCCTTCTCTTCCCCTCCCCGCACACAATTATCTTTGATAATTTATACAGCCATGTAAAGTACTTCAAATACTAATGCTAATAATAAGAGCGTTTATCCCTTTTAATAAAAAATGAAGCGCAAAGATGAAGCGAGGTTTTATACACAAGTGACAAAACTTTTCAATCATTTAGAATCAATCTTTTAGAAATAAAGACAATGATACATCTAAATCAATTGTCATTCATTTGAATATTTATCATTTCTTTAATCCTAGCTCATAATATCTATTTTTAGTTACTTTTCCCGCCAGACTTTACCGATATCTATAACTTTGTCAAGCTACATCTCTGAACAGAAAGCATATTTTTTTAGCTTATCACATGCGAAATTGATATCTCACAATTAGTAAGGCAAACAGATAAACAATAATGAAATAAAAAATATTTCATTCTTATAATAATACCATAAAAAAATTAGTCAGAAATCTGAGATTTTTCACTTTATGATTTTATCAATTGGTGGGACAAAAGTGAAGGGACAGATTCTTGTAAATTCATATTGTAGTTCTATATAATAATAATTATAATATTAATAATTATTTTAATAACATTCCACGGATATTAAAGGAATAATATCAAGGATATTATGGTCTGTATTCATAGTTCGGCCTTATATTTAACCCGGCGTGAGTGAAGTCGGGTATCTCATACCCAGACATTTTTAAAACAGATATTTTTGTTTGTTATTGTATTTCGTGGAACTCCGCTCTCTTATAGCGTTTTCGATTTACTGACTCGACCCGACTCTGAGTCAATGTTCTGTTTAGCTGCAAAAAAAGAGCTAAACTGTGCAAGAAATGCAGCTAAAAAGAACAGACCGTTAACTCAGAGTCGGGTCGAGTCGGTAAATCGAATACGCTATTAGCTACTAGTAATTGGAGGGAAGGGTGCGGAGAGGGGTTTGCATTTTTACAAAATAACTATAACCTAACGTTTAAGTACAAAAATAAATAATTTCAAACACAAACACTGTAAAAACAAGTGTGTTATTTTAACACATTTTATTGTAGTCACTTTTTACACATTTGTAGGTGTGTAGATTTGCAAGAGGATGTAATACTTTTCATGTGTTACATCCTTGCAAATCTACACACCTACAGACGTGTAAAAAATGACTACAATAAAATGTGTGTTAAAGTAACACACTTGTAATACACTTGTAATACAGTGAAACTGATATTTTATTATATTAATATGTTTAGGATATCCAGGAGAAAGTAATATAATACAATAACGAATCATTATATTATTATAAGTATTACGGTAACTCCGGCAAATACGCCGCGCTGGGATTTATGCCGCAAAAGTCAGAAAAAATAGAAGGAGTGGGAGTAATTTTCCCGTAACTACTCTGTTACATGCCTTTATGTTATATTAGTATTGTGTTATGATTTCAACTTCTTACTGTTAATATTAATGAATTTATTGTGAGTTGAATTGATAACGCCATCATAAGTTATAATCTACATAAAATGATTAATGTAGGACGTGTAAAAGATTTAGTGGTTATTTCGTGATACATACGTGTAGTGGAACAGTAAAGCATGTTTGTATTATTAAGCATGTTTGCATTATTTGTAAATTTTTCATGAGCCGTACATACCCCCTTTCCCCCTATAAGTAGCCATATATCCCACCTCTATGAGATATGCGGCAAAAATACAAGATTTCAAAAAGTTTATTTTTTAATATGAAAAATAAATATTTCGGATTTCTAATATTTTTTTCATAGTAGTAGACAGTACAAAGTTTTTACTGATATAGTTCGTTTACTATAAATATAGTAAATAATACTTAATAAATTAAGTTTTTGATAGGTGCGGCGTATATACCGGAGTTACCCTATTATAAACAAAATCTTTGAATAAATATATGGGTATATGAGACCCACCTCATAGTGTCGTAGATGTAACAATTACCCATCTCATTCACGCCAGGTTAATACTTCCTTAAATTTATCTTCAGATACTCTGAATTATTTTATTGACTACTGAGCATCTTTTAAAGATGAATTTAAGGAGAAGCTTCAAATAAGGTTTGACTATGAATGTGAGATATAGATATATATGAAATAGGCATATAACATCAGAATACATTCATAATATTAAAAATATTAACTAATATTCTTGGAATATTATAATATTATTTTAATTGTTAAAAATATATAACATTCATATTATGTACTTATCGGCTAAAAGGAACAAATTTAACATATGTGTATATATATATATATAATCTGTATAAAATTTAATATATGTATATTATTATGTTGCTTCTTTGTAATATACATATGTCATAAATACGTTTTAATAAATTGGCAAACCGATGTAAAAACCACAAAGACGAAAAAATAATGCTTTCATAAAGATTACTTTCTTTGCTAGTTGTCATCAGATGGTGAACTTAACATGCATTCAATCTGTCCTTCCAAGTTGTACAAAAAAATCTCTTCTTTATAACTGAACTTCTTGCACTGTCCATCTTTTCTCTTCTCTTATATAAAGAAAAAAAAAGCAAAATGAACCGTGCAAAAAGTTCAACAGAAAAGAATATAGACTAATGCCCGTTTTATTGATGTAGATTAATTTTAATCTTAGTTTAACTTATCTTTTCCTAGTTCTAAGAATTAGAAAAGGATTAAAGACTAAATTAAACTACGAAAGTTAATCTACATTGGTAGAAATAGGCATCGAAAAGCACATGTTACATTAATTTTCAAGGTTAAATGAGAATAATATTACCTTCATTATAAAATTATATTAAAAGTATAGAAAAAAAGAGAGCCGGATTTAAAAAATGAAATTATTTACCTGATAGCTTTATAAGAAATTCAATATTTAAAACAGGTATCTTGTGCAACAATTTCAGTTGAAAAAAACAAACAAATTAATAAGAATCGACACTGTTGACGAAGAATGAAGCATGTGGAACCATGGTGGAAGGAAACAGGTGAGACAACGCGCACAACAATTCAGAGCAACCAGCTAGCCAATCAAATTTTGGTCTTAATTAAAGTAGCGCGATATTCAAATATAACATTGATCAGTGTATGACAAAATAAACAAATTTAAAATTTGTCCATATATAATACAAAATTACTGTTATAAAATTTCGTTAATTAATAAAATATAAATTGTAAATGTAAATGTAAATTAATAAAAATATGTAATAAAGGTAGAAAATTATATAAATAAGTGAATAAAGAATTTTTGCAATAACGTGAATCCAGATACGGTGAACGCTAAAATCGTATTATTCTTTTCTTGATTAGTTGTTAAGAAGAAGATAACCTGTCCTTAGCGTTCACCGTATCTGGATAAACGGTATTGCAAAAACTCCCTAATAAGTAGGGATGTGCGGGTATCGAAAATACGGTCGAATCAAGTGGGTCCCAATAGATATTTATATCTAACACTAGATCGCTGACTCCCGTATATATCATGCATAAAAATTGATTCCAAAACCTATGTATTACATAAGAGGTTTGTCGCGTTGCAAGCTCCAACATGTTCCAACATGCTCCTATCATAGCGCCTACGTTAGCTGTGTTCCAAAATTGTTTGCCAGCGCTGGCAGCATTGTCAACACCGTTCCAAAAATCATCGTAGCACGCTGTGGCAGTGCTGCGAGAGAGTAAAGACGTCACTAATTTTGTCGTCATTTCCTGCTGTGGCTGAAGAGGTGAGGCAGTTACAGCATAAAGATGGCGGAAAAGATGGAGGAGTTAATTTTAATTGATGCTGAGAGTAATACTGAATTTAAAATAAATATTTCGGTAGAAGATGCTGAAAAAGCAAGAAGTAGTGAATAGATTTATAATTTTTTTGTAGTCAGCTTTATGTGGTCACATTTATTTATTCATACTTCGAATAATTATATATAATTTCGGCTAATTCTGAATCCGAATCACTAGACTCTTCTAGAATCGAATGCTAATTTTATAATGGTTTCAAATAAAAATTTTTTCTGTATGGTTCTCTTCATACTTCTAGGTTATTTGTTTCTTTTCGCTGAAGTCGCTATACGTTAACAGCACTCAAAATATCGTTCCAAAATGAAAGCTGCGTTTGCATGAAAAGCATGTTTACTAAAATTGAAACGCTATTGGTAGCATGCACTTATGACGACACACGCAGCACTGGCAATCAATTTTGGAACACACCTTTATTCTACCGAGCGCGTTGGAGTGAGTAAAAGCTATCGTAGGAGCATATTGGAATATGTTGGAGCATGCGACGCGAACAAACCTATAGCGTGACGTAGAATAAAACGGTCACGTTGTCACATAATGTGTAAAGCCCATGGCACATACAAAAACGTAAGGCCGTAATACGTAAGCAGTAAAGAAATCGTAAGATTGGATTCGCTACTGGCCTTACGGTCTCTATCGTGATTGACCAATTACGCTTACTGATTATGTCTTACGGCCTTACGTTTTTGTATGTGCCATGGGCTTTAATGGCCGCGGTAGGACGGATAGGGCCACATCAGTCACATATTTGTGGGATATACGCATGATATTCGTGCTTTTACGTTAAAAGTCATAATACCGATATCTTGCCACGTGAAAAGTTGTCATAGTTTAAGTGGAAAAAATTCGGAGATAATATTTCGTAAGTAAGTTGCAATCAATACGGTGTCGATGTAACATATACATTGACTTACATGCGCATGCGTTGACTAGTGATGTTCCTACGTCATGGGCATGTACCATGAGTTTAGTACGTAATTTTCGGAATCATGTATTAAAGCCCATGACACATACAAAAACATAAGGCCGTAAGACATAATCAGTAAGCGAATTGGCCAATCGCGATAGAGACCGTAAGGCCAGTAGCGAATCCAATCTAATGCGTGGTCTACAATGGGCAGTAGTAGTAGCGGATGAAGCAGTAAGACGTCGCAGTAACCTGGTTTTTCGATATTATAGGGTGTAGAGTAAGTCCGTAAGCGAAATGGTTGAAATCCATTTCTTACGTCTACTTTCTTACTCTCAACCAATGAGAACTCAGCATTCAGTAGTAAAGAAAACGCGCGCAAGAAGCTAGTACTGTTTTTGCATGCTATAACCTAAATTTCGAGTATGGCAGACATGGAGTTTTATGATAGTTCTAGGCGTGATTTTGAAATAAGGATTAACCGAGAATTAATTGCCGTGGTCCGGTGCAATTGGTTTTTGTATGATAAGACCGAAAAATTATATGCCAACGCCAATGTGAAAACCGAAACATGGAGACAAATCGGTGCAAGTCTCTAAGTCATTGTAGACACTCAGACGTAAAGAGACCCTAATCCTACAGCCTACTTCTAATGTCTACTTCTTAATCCACTACTGCTACTGCCCATTGTAGACCACGCATTACGATTTCTTTACTGCTTACGTATTACGGCCTTACGTTTTTGTATGTGCCATGGGCTTAAAGCTAAGGTACTATATTATACAGGAATATGCATCCGCCATATTGGCTCCTAGTCAGTGCGGGAAAATTCGAGCCAAGCAAAGATGCTGTACTGCCAGTGCTGAAAATCTATAGTATAACTATAAATTTTAAAAACAATATGTACACTGACAGTGTATACGAAACACGATCGTAGAATTAATAAGTGCAATAAATAAAATGGACGGTTGTAGTGCATTAAATTGTAAGAATAGGAGTGAAGCCGGATTTCAAACGTTCCCAACGGAAGCAGAAAGAAGAAAGAAGTGGTTAATAAACTGTCGGCGTGACAAATGGATACCTTCCTCGAATTCAAGATTATGCGAGGTAAGTACTTATATTTATCACTAAACCTTTATTTCAATTATTTAGAGCAGAAGATGAGAAATGGAAAATTGAGGTTAGAAATCTTCCCATTCATCACAAAATGTTTCAAAGACATTTTAGCATGTTTCTGAAAAAATGCAACTTTCCTGACATCTTCATAAAAACCTTTCTGAAAATATCTTATAAATATTTGTTAAAGGTTTTGTTTTAATTTTTTTTGCAGGTTCACTTTGAAAGCTCTCAATTTGAACAAAATAGGCAAGATGGGTTGAAAAAATTAAAGCCAAATGCTGTACCGACGTTATTTGATGTACCAAATCCAACAAAAAGAATTGAAAGTATGAAGCAATCAAATTTTGATAAAAATATACTCTATTGATGTGTTTTCGCGTAAAACTAAAGATTTGACAACAACAAAAAACCGTCGTTTTGTCCTGTGAATCGAAATATTAATCGTTAAAGTCAACGGCTATTCAAGTTAGGAAATCTGTCACAATAATGGTTCACTGCTTTAAGAACACAAATCTTCTGCATTAAAAACAAATACTTTGCTGAAACAGTGAGTTTATGTTTTAAAAACAATGAATCACTACTGTGACAAATTTCCTAATCTGAATAGTTGTCGACTTTAATGATTATTATCTCTGTTCACAGGGCAGAGCGACACTCTTTTTCTTGTCAAATCTTTATTTTTACGCGAAAACGCATCGATTGAATGCATTTTTATTAAAATTTGAGGCGGCCAGAATCTTCTTAACATTTATCATAACCTTATACTTTTAGGTTTATCATTGAATTGGCAGAATCGTGTATTTAACATCGCCGATTTTGAAACATGCGCCAGCTGCCAGGAGCCAATATGGCGGATGCATATCCCACCTAATATAGTATTTTAATTAAAGCAGTGCTCACAAAAATTTGTACATTTCGAGCCGATTCCTGCCATAGACTTATAAGATAGACGGAGCATTCGTACGAGAGAAGCTGAAGACGCGATAGAAAGAGAAAGAAACAGTCGCGGAGTAGTTCTCTTCTTTTCTAGTAGTGAATTGATTGGTCGTCGCGGCAGGTCGGGGAGGAGTCGAGAGCAACGAAGTTAAATGTCCGAGAGTAAGTTGACTGACAATGATAGCGAGAGCTTTGGCGGATTGCAGCGGATTATTGTGCATTAATTTTAATAGTTTATTTACAAATTAAAAGTTGAAAATTTAATAATGGTGCGGTCTTACTGCATTTGCAAGAACATGGTGTTCGAGGAGATGTTTCTTTCCATCGGTAAACAATTTCATTATAGTAAAACGTAACATTTGTATAGGTTAGGTGTATTTTAAGTAAAGTAAATAACATTAATTTCTCATTTTTTTGCAATTGATTGAGAATATTTCGTTTCTCGCATGATGTACATAATACATCATTTATCCTCGTTGTTCACCGAATATTAAACGAAGATAAATGATGCATTACGCACAGCATGCGAGACATGAAATGTATCCAAAATAACAACAGATACAGCTTTTTTTTATTAATTAATATATTTTAATATAATTATTCAAAAAAGATGTATGTTAATATTTTAGTGTTCCTGAAAGATGAATTAAGAGATAAGTGGATCAGTATTATTGGATATAAAATCGTTAAAAGCAGTGCTATTTGAAGTGATCATTTCACAGACACTGACTTTCAATTTAAATTTATAAAAGATGTGCCAAAAAGATATTTAATACCTGATGCTGTTCCCAGTTTACTCCTTCCAATACAGCAGAAAACGACACTTACAATTAGTGATTCATCACAGGATATCAAACAAGCAGTTGATTATAATAGGTAAATAAATATACAATTGACTTATTATTTATACTATTTCTTATAATTGCAATAAAATATAATAATTTGCAGTGATACCAGTGATAAATTATCTAC